TTTTTTTTGTGAATTCTGGGGGATTTTTTGGCAATTTTTTGGGGATTTTTTGGGATTTTTTTGAGAATTTTTGGGGATATTTTTTGGATTTTTTTTGAGATTTTTTTTGTGAATTCTGGGGGATTTTTTGGCAATTTTTTGAAAATTTGGGAAGAAATTGGGGGAAATTGGGGAAAAATTTGGGGGAAATTTGGGGAAAAATCGGAAAATATCGGGGAAAATTTGGGGAAAAATTGGGGAAAATTGGGGAAATATCAGGGAAAAATTGGGGAAATTTGGGGAAAATTTGGGGGAAAAATTGGGAAAATTTGGGGAAAAATTGGGGAAAATTTGGGGGAAAATTGGGGAAAATTTGGGGAAAATTTGGGGAAAATTTGGGGAAAATTTGGGGAAAATTTGGGGGAAATTTGGGAAAATGTTGGGTTTTTTGTGATTTTTAAGGGATTTTTTAGGGATTTTTAGAGGAATTTTCAGGGAATGTTCGGTGATTTCTTGGGAAGCTTTTTGGGAAATTTTGGGGATATTTTGGGAAATTTTTGGGATTTTTTTTGGAATTTTTTGGGAGCTGTTTCTTAATTTTTGGGGATTTTAGGGGGATTTTTTGAGATTTTTTTTAGGGGGATTTTTGGGGAATTTTTGGGAAATTTTTGGGATTTTTTTGGAATTTTTTGGGGATTTTTTTGGGGATTTTTTGAGATTTTTTAGGGGGATTTTTGGGGAATTTTTGGGAAATTTTTGGGATTTTCTGGGGATTTTTGGGGAAATTTTGGGGGACTTTTTTGGGAATTTTTGGTGATTTTTTGGGGATTTTTTGAGATTTTTTTGGGAATTTTTGGGGACATTTTTGGAATTTTTTCGAGATTTTTTGGGGACTTCTGGGGGATTTTTGGGGGACATTTTTGGGGATTTTTTTGGGATTTTTGGGGGGATTTTGGAGCCCCCGGGGATCGGAGCGGAACCGGGAGAGCTCCAGGGAGCCCCAAAATCCGCGGCACAAAACGGGGGGGGGAACGGGAAAATTTGGGGAAAAATCGGGGGAAATTTGGGAGAAAATTTGGGGGAAATTTGGGGAAAATTGAGGAAAAATTGGGGAAAATTTGGGGTAAATTGAGGAAAATTTGGGGAAAATTTGGGGAAAATTGAGGAAAATTTTGGGAAAATTGAGGAAAATTTGGGGAAAATTGAAGAAAATTGGGGAAAAATCGGTGAAATTTGGGGAAAATTTGGGGAAAATTGAGGAAAATTTTGGGAAAATTGAGGAAAATTTGGGGAAAATTGAAGAAAATTGGGGAAAAATCGGTGAAAAATCGGGATTTTTTTTTCATTTTTTGTGAATTTTTTGATGATTTTTAAAGGATTTTTGGGGAATGCGTGGGGATCTTTTGGGAAAATTTTGGGGATATTTTGGGAAGTTTTTAGGATTTTTGCAGAATTTTTTGAGGATTTTGGTTGATTTTTTGGGGAAATATTTTAGGATTTTTGGGGATTTTTTGGTGTTTTTTTCGGGATTTTTTTGGGATTTTTTGAGGGTTTTCTGGGGAGTTTTGGGGAAATTTTTGAGACATTTTTTGGGATTTTTTTGAGAATTTTTGGGGATATTTTTTGGATTTTTTTTGAGATTTTTTTTGTGAATTCTGGGGGATTTTTTGGCAATTTTTTGGGGATTTTTTGGGATTTTTTTGAGAATTTTTGGGGATATTTTTGGGAATTTGTTGGGAATTTTTGGGGGGATTTTGGAGCCCCCGGGGATCGGAGCGGAACCGGGAGAGCTCCGGGAGCCCCGAAATCCGCGGCACAAAAGGGGGGGGAACGGGAAAATTTGGGGGAATTTGGGGAAAAATTGGGGAAAAATTGGGGAAAATTTGGGGAAAAATTGGGGAATATGAGGGAAAAATTGGGGGAATTTGGGGAAAAATTGGGGAAAATTTGGGGGAAATTTGGGGAAAAATTGGGGAAATATCAGGGAAAAATGGGGAAATATCAGGGAAAAATTGGTGGAAATTTGGGGAAAAATCAGAGAAATTTTGGGGAAATTTGGGGAAAATTTGGGGGAAAATTGGGAAAAAATCGGTGAAAAATTGGGGGAAATTTGGGGCAAATGTGGGGAAAAATTTGGGATAATTTGGGGGAAATTGGGGGCAAATTGGGGGAGGAATTGGGGAAAAATTGGGGAAAAATTGGGGGAAAATTGGGGGAAATTTGGGGAAAAATTGGGGAAAATTTGGGGAAAAATTGGGGAAAAATTGGGAAAAATTTGGGGAAAAATTGGGGAAAAATTGGGGAAAAATGGGGGAAAATTTGGGGGAAAATTGGAGAATTTTCGGGAAAAAAATCTGGATTTTTTTGAGATGTTTTTGGGAAATTTTTAGGATTTTTTTGGGATTTTTTTGGAGACTTTTTGGGAACTGTTTCTTGATTTTTGGGGATTTTTGAGAATTTTTATGAGGATTTTTGGGGAAATTTTTGTGATTTTTTGGGGGATTTTTTGGAAAATTTTTGGGATTTTTTGGGATTTTCTGGGGATTTTTGGGGAAATTTTTGGGAATTTTTGGGGAATTTTTTTGGATTTTTTGGATATTTTTTGGGAAATTTTGGGGGATTTTTTTTTTTTTTAATTTTTTTGGGATTTTTTTGGGATTTTTTTGCGGATTTTTGGGAATATTTTTGAGATTTTTTGGACGACTTTTGGGGTATTTTTTTGGGGATTTTTTAGGGTTTTTTGGGCAATTTTTGGGGATTTTTTGATGATTTTTTCGGGATTTTTGGAGGAAATTTAGGGATTTTTTGGGAAAATTTCAGGGATATATTGGGAAATTTTTGTGATTTTTTGGGGAATTTTTTGGTTTTTTTTTAAAATTTTTCTGGGATTTCTTTGGGATTTTTTGGGGATTTTTGGGGATTTTTTTGAGAATTTTTTTTGACAATTTCTTTGGGATTTTTCGGATTTTTTGGGGAATTTTTTAGGAAAAAATTGGGGATATTTTGGGAAATTTTTGGGATTTCTTGGGGAATTTTTTGGGTTTTTTAAAAGATTTTTTTGGGATTTTTGGGGAAATTTTTGTGATTTTTTTTTGGAATTTTAGGGCATTTTTTGAATAATTTTTGGGAACTTTTTGGGGATTTTCAGGGATTTTTTTGCAAATTTTTTGGGATTTTTTAGGGAATTTTTAGCGATTTTTTGGGGATTTTTTTTGAGATTTTTGGGGGATTTTTTGTGATTTTCTGGGGAATTTTTGGGGAAATTTGGGATTTTCGGGGCCGTTTTTGGGTGAATTTGAGGCGATTTTGGAGCTCCCGGGGTCGATTTTTGACAATTTTGCCCTCCCGGATCCGATTTTTGGGGTCCCGAGGTCGATTTTGGCCGATTTTGGGGCAATTTTGGCCGATTGTGGGGCAATTTTGGCCGATTTTGGGGCATTTTTAGGTCTCCCGCACCTTCCCCGTTACCCTCCGGCTGCTCCATCGGCACTTCCGGGTGTCGGCACTTCCGGCTTCCGGTGTTGCCATAGTAACGGCGGAAACAGCTCTGGCCACGCCCCTTTCCCCGTCTCTATGATCACGGCGGAGCCGCTCCGGCCGCCAGGCCTCCGGAACTCGATGGTCGCGCCACGAAACGACCCCAAAAACCCCAAAATTCACCCCAAAATTCGCCCCAAAACCCCAAATTTTCCCCCAAATCCCGAATTTTCTCCCCAGATCCCCCCCCGTGCTGGGATTTTTGGGGTCCCCCGTGCCCCAAATTCCTTTTAAATTCCCCCAGAAAGTCCCAAATCCCCCCCAAATTCCCAAATCCCCCCCAAAAATGGCCGGAAAATTTCCCCCCTAAAAATGACCCCAAATCCCCCCAAAAATGACCCCAAGAGCCCCCAGAATGACCCCGAGGGACCAATGAGTGACCACTGAGTGACCCCTTGACCCCCGAGGGACCCCCAGTGACCCCAGGACCCCCAAAATGACCCCGAGTGACCATTGAGTGACCCCCTGGCCCCTGAGTGACCAATGAGTGACCACTGAGTGACCCCTTGACCCCTGAGTGACCCCGAGTGACCATTGAGTGACCCCCTGGCCCCTGAGTGACCAATGAGTGACCACTGAGTGACCCCAAAGTGACCCGAGTGACCCCAAGACCCCCCCAGGTGACCCCAAAATGACCCAAATCCCCCCAAAACGACCCCGAGTGACCAATGAGTGACCCCTGAACCCAGAGTGACCAATGAGTGACCACTGACCCCTGAGTGACCAATGAGTGACCCCTGAACCCAGAGTGACCAATGAGTGACCACTGACCCCTGAGTGACCCCAAATCCCCCTAAAGTGACCCCAAAATGACCCCAGGACCCCCAAAATGACCCCTGAGTGACCCCCGAGTGACCCCAGAGTGACCCCCGAGTGACCCCTTGACCCCTGAGTGACCAATGAGTGACCCCTGTGTGACCCCCCAAGTGACCATTGACCCCAAGACCCCCCCACAGTGACCCCTGACCCTTTAGTGACCCTGAGTGACCCCAGGACCCCCAAAATGACCCAGAGTGACCATTGAGTGACCCCTGAGTGACCCCTTGACCCTTGAGCGCCCCCTGAGTGACCCCAAATGACCCTGAGTGACCCCAAGACCCCCCCAGGTGACCCCAAAATGACCCAAATCCCCCCCAAAATGACCCCAGAGTGACCTCCGAGTGACCAATGAGTGACCCCTGAACCCAGAGTGACCAATGAGTGACCACTGACCACTGAGTGACCCCAAATGACCCCAGAGTAACCCCAAAATGACCCCAGAACCCCCCAGAGTGACCAATGAGTGACCCCAAAATGACCCCAGAGTGACCCCTGAGTGACCATTGACCCCCAGACCCCCCCAGAGTGACCCCTGACCCTTTAGTGACCCTGAGTGACCCCAGGACCCCCAAAATGACCCCGAGTGACCCCTGAGTGACCATTGAGTGACCCCCGAGTGACCCCCGAGTGACCCCTCCCCCCCAAACCCCACCGGCACCGCGGGAACAACTCCGAGCGATTTTATTGGCTGGGAAAGGGGAAAAGGGGGCGGGGCCACAGCGAGGTCAAAGGTCAGGGGGCGGCGACCGCCGGGGAGGGGCCGGGGTGGACACGGGGGTGACCACGAGTGACCACGAGTGACCAGGGGTGACCAGGGGCAGTTTGGGGCGGCCAGAGTGACCAGTGGTCACTTTAGAGTGACCAGGAGTCACTTTTGAGTGGCCATGAGTGACCAGAGTGACCAGTGGCCACTTCAGAGTGACCAGTGGTCATTTTGGGGTGGCCATGAGTGACCAAGAGTGACCAGTGGTCACTTTAGAGTGACCAGAGTGACCAGTGGTCATTTTGGGGTGGCCAGAGTGACCAGTGGTCACTTCAGAGTGACCAGAGTGACCAGAGGTCACTTCAGAGTGACCAGGAGTAACTTTTGAGTGGCCATGAGTGACCAGAGTGACCACGGGTCACTTCAGAGTGGCCAGAGTGACCAGAGGTCACTTTAGAGTGACCAGAGTGACCAGTGGTCATTTTGGGGTGGCCATGAGTGACCAGGGGCAGTTTGGGGTGGCCAGAGTGACCAGGAGTGACCAGTGGGCACTTTAGGGTGACCAGAGTGACCAGGGGTCACTTTGGGGTGGCCATGAGTGACCAGGGGTCACTTTAGAGTGACCAGAGTGACCAGGGGTCACTTTGGGGTGGCCATCAGTGACCAGGGGTCACTTTGGGGTGGCCATGAGTGACCAGGGGTCACTTTAGGGTGACCAAGAGTGACCAGAGTGACCAGGGGTCACTTTAGGGTGACGAGAGTGACCCGTGGTCATTTTGGGATGGCCATGAGTGACCAGAGTGACCAGTGGTCACTTTGGGGTGACCAGGAATGACCATTGGTCACTTCAGAGTGACCAGAGGTCACTTGAGGTGGTCAGGGGTGGTCAGTGGTCACTCTGAGGGGGTCAGTGGTCACTCTGGGGTGGTCAAGGGTCACTCTGGGGTGGACAGGGGTGGTCAGTGGTCACTCTGGGGTGGTCAAGGGTCACTTTGGGGTGGTCAGTGGTCACTCTGGGGTGGTCAGTGGTCACTTTGGGGTGGATAGGGGTGGTCAGGGATGGCCTGGGGTGGCCGTAAGTGACCATTGGTGACCGTGGGGTGGACACAGAGTGACCACAGGTGGTCAGTGGTCACCAATGATGGACACAGAGTGACCACAGGTGGTCAGTGGTCAGCAGGGAGCGGCCGGAGAGCGGCCATTGGTCAGCAAGAGATGGGGAGTGACCACGGGGGTCAGGGTGGGGTGGTCATCAGTGGTCATCAGTGGTCAGTGGTCATCATGGGGTGGACACAGAGTGACCACAGCTGGGCATTGGTCACCATGGGATGGACACAGAGTGACCACAGCTGGGCATTGGTCACTGAGGAGGGACACAGAGTGACCACAGCTGGGCATTGGTGGCCGTGGTCACTAAGAATGACGGCAGATGACCACAGATGACCAGAGATGACCTCAAATGACCTCAGATGACCTCAGATGACCACAGATGACCACCGGTCACCACGGGGTGACCACCATCTCTCAGCTGACATAGACACGGTGGAAGTCGGTCAACAAGGATGGACACTGGATGACCACGGGTGGTCATTGGTGGCCGTGGTCACCAAGGATGACCACAGGTGACCACAAATGACCACAGATGACCACTGGTCACCACGGGGTGACCACCATCTCTCAGCTGACATAGACACGGTGGAAGTCGTTGGTCACCAAGGATGGACATTGGATGACCACGGGTGGTCATCGGCGGCCGTGGTCACCAAGGATGACCACAGATGACCACAGGTGACCGCAGATGACCAGCAGTCACCGCGGGGTGACCGCCGGCGCTCAGCTGATGTAGACGCGGTGGAAGTCGTGCGCGCCGAAGGCCGCGTTGCACTTGGGGCACTTCCTCTGGCGCGTGTCGTAGCGGCTCTTGACGCATTCGAAGCAGAAGACGTGGAAGCACTTGGTCAGCACCGCGTCCTTCTTGCGCGCGTTGCAGCACGGGCAGGTCAGCCGGGCCTGGCCGGAGAGGACAGAGGGTCAGCGAGGGTGACCACCGGTGGCCAAAGGTCAGCCGAGGTCGTTAACCGTCGTTGGAGATGGTTAAACGTCAACTGAAGTCACTGAAAGTCGTTAATGGTCAACCAAGGCCAGCGGAGATCATTGAAGGTCATTAACGGTCAACCAAGATTGCTGAAGGTCATTAATGGTCAACGAAGGTCAACCAAAGTCAACAAAGTTCATTAATGATCAACCAAAGTCATTCAAGGTCATTAACAGTCAACCTAGGTCAATGAACATCATTAATGCTCAACCAAGGTCATTGAAGATCATTAATGATCAACCAAAGTCATTCAAGGTCGTTAATGGTCAACCAAGGCCAGCAGAGATCATTGAAGGTCGCCAATGGTCAACCAAGATCGTTGAAGGTCATTAATGGTCAATGAAGGTCAACCAAGATCATTGAAGACCATTAATGATCAACCAAAGTCATTCAAGGTCATTAATGGTCAACCAAGGTCAATGAAGATCATTAATGATCAACCAAGCTCATTCAAGGACATTAATAGGCAAGCAAAGTCAACAAAGTTCATTAATGATCAACCAAAGTCATTCAAGGTCATTAACAGTCAACCTAGGTCATTGAAGATCATTAGTAATCAACCAAAGTCCTTCAAGATCATTAATGGTCAACCAAGGCCAGCAGAGATCATTGAAGGTCGTCAATGGTCAACCAAGATCGTTGAAGGTCATTAATGGTCAACGAAGATCAACCAAAGTCATTGAAGATCATTAATGATCAACCAAAGCCATTCAAAGTCATTAACGGTCAACCAAGGTCAACAAAAATCATTAATGATCAACCAAGATCATTCAAGGTCAACCAAAGTCATTCAAGGTCATTAATGGTCAACCAAGGACAGTGGAGATCATTGAAGGTCGTTAATGGTCAACCAAGATCGTTGGAGGTCAACTGAGCTTATGGAAGGTCGTTAATGGTCAACCAAGGTCGTTAAAGGTCCGATTAATGATCAGTAAATAACAACCAAGTTCACTGAACATCATTAATGATCAACCAAAGCCATTCAAGGTCATTAATGGTCAACCAAGATCGTTGGAGGGCAACTGAGCTTATTGAAGTCGTTAATGGTCAACCAAGGTCGCTAAAGGTCCGATTAATGATCAATAAATGCCAACCAAGTTCATTGAACATCATTAATGATCAACCAAAGCCATTCAAGGTCATTAATGGTCAACCAAGTCATTCAAGGTCAATAATGGTCAACCAAGGTCAACGAAGGTCATTCAAGATCAACCAAAGTCACTGAAAATCACTTGAGGTCAACCAAAGTCATTAAATGTCACTAATGGTCAATCAAACCCAACCAAGGTCGTTAAAGCTCGTTAACCGTCAACCAAGATCGTTCAAGGTCAACTGAGATCATTGAAGGCCATCAATAGTCAACCAAAGTCATTCAAGGTCAACCAAAACAACCAAGGTCGTTAAAGCTCGTTAACGGTCAACCAAGATCGTTCAACGTCAACTGAGATCATTGAAGGCCATCAATAGTCAACCAAGGTCATTCAAGGTCAACCAAAGTCATTCAAGGTCAACCAGAGTCATTAAAGGTCATAAATGGTCAACCAAGATCATTCAAGGTCAACCAAGGTCATTTGAGGTCAACCAAAATCACTAAAGGTCATTAATTATCAACCAAGACCATTCAAGGTCAACCGAGGTTACTGACAGTCATTAAGGGCCAACCATGGTCAACAAAAATCATTTAAAGTTCAACAAAAGCCATTAACGGTCAACCAATGTCATTGTAGGTCAATTAAGGTCATTAAACGTCATTAATGACCAAGATCAACCAAGGTCATTAATGGTCAACCAGAATTCTGGAAAGTTCTAGAAAACACCCCAAGAAAGTGCCTGAAGCTCCACCCCGGTCCTGGAAACTCCACCCAAGGTTCCTCAAGGTTCTGGAAGATCCCAGGAGGCCCCAAAAGGCCCCAGAAGCTCCTGGAAGGTTCTGGAAGGTTCCAGGATGTTCTGAGAGATCCCAAAAGATCCTGGAAGCTTCTGGAAAGTCCCAGGAGATCCTGGAAGCTTCTGGAAAGTTCCAGAAGATCTTGGAAGATTCTAGAAGTTCCCAAAGAGTGGCAAAAGCTCCACTTGAGGTTCCTCAAGGTTCTGGAAGATCCCAGGAGGCCCCAAACGGCCCCAGAAGCTCCTGGAAGGTTCTGGAAAATCCCAAAAGATCGTGGAAGCTTCTGGAAAGTTCCAGGAGATCCCAGAACCTTCTGGAAGTTCCTAGAAAATTGTAGAAGTTCTACCCAAGTTCCACCCGAGGTTCCTCAAGGTTCTGGAAGATTCCAGGAGACCCCAAAAGGCCCCAGAAGCTCCTGGAAGGTTCTGGAAGATCCCAAAAGATTGTGGAAGCTTCTGGAAAGTTCCGGAAGATCTTGGAAGATTCTAGAAGTTCCCAAAGAGTGGCAAAAGCTCCACTTGAGGTTCCTCAAGGTTCTGGAAGATCCCAGGAGGCCCCAAAAGGCCCCAGAAGCTCCTGGAAGGTTCTGGAAGATCCCAAAAGATCCTGGAAAGTTCTGGAAAGTTCCAGGAGATCCCAGAACCTTCTGGAAGTTCCTAGAAAATTGTAGAAGTTCTAACCCAGTTCCATCTAAGGTTCCTCAAGGTTCTGGCAGATCCCAGGAGGCCCCAAACGGCCCCAGAAGCTCCTGGAAGGTTCCAGAAGATCCCAGGATGCTCTGGGCGATCCTGGAAGCTTCTGGAAGGTTCCAGGAGATCCTCAAAGGTTCTGGAGTTTCCCAAAAAGTTGCAAAAGCTCCACCCAAGGTTCCTCAAGGTTCTGCAAGATCCCAGGAGGCCCCAAAAAGCCCCAGAAGCTCCTGGAAGGTTCTGGAAGGTCCCAGGATGTTCTGGGAGATCCCAAAAGATCCCGGAAGCTTCTGGAAGCTCCTAAAAGGTTGTGAAAGTTCTACCCAAGTTCCACCCAAGGTTCCTCAAGATTTTGGAAGATCCCAGGAGGCCCCAAAAGGACCCAGAAGCTCCTGGAAGGTTCTGGAAGGTCCCAGGATGTTCTGGGAGATCCCAAAAGATCCTGGAAGCTTCTGGAAAGTTCCAGGAGATCCCAGAATCTTCTGGAAGTTCCTAGAAAATTGTAGAAGTTCTAACCAAGTTCCATCTAAGGTTTCTCAGGGTTCTGGAAGATCCCAGGAGGCCCCAAAAGGCCCCAGAAGCTCCTGGAAGGTTCCAGGATGTTCTGGGAGATCCCAAAAGATCCCGGAAACTTCTGGAAAGTTCCAGGAGATCCTGGAAGCTTCTGGAAGCTCCTAAAAGGTCGTAAAAGTTCTATCCAAGTTCCACCTAAGGTTCCTCAAGGTTCTGGAAGATCCCAAAAGATCGTGGAAGCTTCTGGAAAGTTCCAGAAGATCCCGGAAGGTTCCAGAAGGTCCTGGAAGGTCACGGAAGATCCTGGAAGGTCACGGAAGGTCCCAGAAGGTTCCGGAAGGTCCCGGAAGGTCCCGGAAGGCTCACCCGGTACTCCTTGATCTCCTCCTGCAGGATCTGGTCGGCGTCGGCGTAGACCTCGACCTTGCGCTGCTTCTCCAGCTTCCGGCGCAGCCGCGACAGCTCCTCCTGCCGGGGGGACACGAACGGCCCCGAATTGCCAAAAATTCCCAAAAAATTCCCCAAAAATTCATAAAACATCTCCAAAAAATTCCCCAAAAAAATTCCCAAAAAATTTCCCAAAAAATTCCCAAAAAATTCCCCAAAAAAATTCCCAAAAAATTCCCCAAAAAAATTCCCAAAAAATTTCCCAAAAAATTCCCAAAAAATTCCCCAAAAAAATTCCCAAAAAATTTCCCAAAAAATTCCCAAAAAATTCCCCAAAAAAATTCCCAAAAAATTCCCCAAAAATTCCCAAAAAAACCCCAAAAAATTCCCAAAAAACCCCCAAAAAACCCCCAAAAAATTCCCAAAAAACCCCCAAAAAATTCCCAAAAAACCCCCAAAAAATTCCCCAAAAACCCCCCAAAAATTCCCAAAAAACCCCCAAAAAATTCCCAAAAAAACCCCAAAAAATTCCCTGAAATCCCCCAAAAAATTCCCAAAAAACCCCCAAAAAACCCCCAAAAAATTCCCAAAAAAACCCCAAAAAATTCCCAAAAAACCCCAAAAAATTCCCTGAAATCCCCCAAAATTTTATAAAAAAAATTTCCAAAATTCTCTTAAAAGCCATCAAGAATCCCCCAGAAGTTTCCCAAAAAGATCCCAAAAAAATTCCCAAAAATGTTCCCGCGAAAGTCCCGAAATTCCCCCAAAAAATTCCCCAAAAATTCTGGAAAATATCCCCCAAAAATCTTCACAAAATTTCCTGAAAAACCAAAAAAAGTCCTCAAAGCTTCCCCAAAAACTCCTAAAATTCCCCCAAAAATTCCCCAAAAAATCCCCAAAAATTCCCCAAAAAATCCCCAAAAAATTCTGGAAAATATCCCCCAAAAATCTTCACAAAATTTCCTGAAAAACCAAAAAAAATCCTCAAATGTTCCCCAAAAACTCTACTAAAATTCCCAAAAAAATTCCCCAAAAAATCCCCAAAAATTCACCAAAAAATCCCCAAAAATTCCCCAAAAATTCTGGAAAATATCCCCCAAAAATCTTCACAAAATTTCCTGAAAAACCAAAAAAAGTCCTCAAAGGTTCCCCAAAAACTCTACCAAAATCCCAAAAAAAATTCCCCAAAAAATTCCCAAAACATCTCCAAAAAATTTCCTGAAAAATTCCCAAAAAACCCCCAAAAAATTCCCTGAAATCCCCCAAAATTTTATAAAAAAATCTCCAAAATTCTCCTAAAAGCCGTCAAAAATCCCCCAGAAGTTTCCCAAAAAGATCCCCAAAAAATTCCCAAAAATGTTCCCCCCGAAAGTCCCGAAATTCCCCCAAAAAATTCTGGAAAATATCCCCCAAAAATCTTCACAAAATTTCGTAAAAAACCAAAAAAAGTCCTCAAAGGTTCCCCAAAAACTCCCCGAAATTCCCCCAAGAATTCCCCAAAAAATCCCCAAAAAATCCCCAAAAAATTCCCTGAAATCCCCAAAAATTCCCCAAAAAATTCTGGAAAATATCCCCCAAAAATCTTCACAAAATTTCGTAAAAAACCAAAAAAAGTCCTCAAAGGTTCCCCAAAAACTCCCCTAAATTCCCAAAAAAAATTCCCCAAAAATCCCCAAAAATTCCCCAAAAAATTTCCTGAAAAATTCCCAAAAAACCCCAAAAAAATTCCCTGAAATTCCCCAAAATTTTATAAAAAAATCTCCAAAATTCTCCTAAAAGTTCTCAAAATCCCGTCAAAAATCCCCCTGAAAGCTCCGAAAAAATCCCCCAAAATTTCCTAAAACACCTCAGAAAACCCCCAAAAAATCCTTGAAAAATCACAAAAAAATTCCCAAAAATTCCCCATAAAAATCCCCCAGGAATTCTGAAAAACCCCCCAAAAATTGTCAAAAATCTCCCCCAAAAAGTCTGAAAAAATCGCCCAAAATTTTCCAAAAAAATCTCCAAAATTCTCACAAAAATTCTCAAAATTCTGCCAAAAATCCTCCCAAAAATCCCCCAGAAGTTTCCCAAAAAAGTCTCCAAAAATCCTCACAAAAACTCCCAAAATTTCCTAAAAAAACTCCAAAAAATTCTCAAATGTTCCCCAAAACTTTCCCAAAAAATCCCCCCAAAAGTTCCCAAATCATCCCCAAAAAAATCCCCCCAAATTCTCCAAAATTCCTCCAAAGTTCCCTAAAAATCCCCCAAAAATTCCCTAAAAACCCCCATTCTCCAAAAAAATCCCCCAAAACCCCCCAACATTCCCTAAAAAATTCTCAATCCCCCCCCAAAAATCCCCCCAAATTCCCAAACCTTCCCAGAACTCCCTAAATTCCCAAAAACATTCCCAAAATTGCCAAAAATCTTCCCAAAACATCCCCAAAAAAACCTTCCAAATCTCCCCAAACCTCCCTGAAATTCCCAAAATTTCCAAAAACTCTCCAATATTCCCCAAATCCCCCCCAAAAAATCCCCCACCAAAACCCCCCAAAAATTCACAAAAAACCCATCCAAAACTCCACAAAATTCCCAAAACCCCCCAAAATCTCCCCGAAATTCCCAAAAACTCCCCAAAACTCCCCAAAACCTCCCCGAATTCCCCAAAGTTCCCCAAAACCTCCCCAAAAATCCCAAAAAATCCGCAAATCCCCAAAAAGCCTCAAAATATCCCCCCAAAACTCCCAAAAAACCCAGAAAATCCCCAAAAATCGCCCCAAAAACTCACAAAAAACCCATCCAAAACTCCCCAAAATTTTCAAAACCTCCCCAAAAGCTCCCCAAAACCCCCAAAATATCCCCGAAATTCCCAAAATCTCCCCGAAGTTCCCAAAAACTCCCCAAAATTCAAAAAAAAAACCCCAAAACCCCCTAAAAAAACCCCAAAACTCACAAAAACCCCTCCAAAACTCCCCAAAATTCCCAAAACCTCCCCAAAACCTCCCCCAAATTCCCAAAAACTCCCCAAAGTTCCCCAAAAACCCCCCAAAACCCCCAAAAAAGCCCCAAAACTCACAAAAACTCCCCAAAACCTCCCCAAAATTCCCAAAACCTCCCCAAAACTCCCCAAAACTCCCCAAAGTTCCCCAAAACCTCCCCAAAAATCCGCAAATCCCCAAAAACCCCAAAATATCCCCCCAAAACTCCCAAAAAACCCAGAAAATCCCCAAAAATCTCCCCAAAAACTCACAAAAAACCCATCCAAAACTCCCCACAATTCCCAAAACCTGCCCAAAACCACCAAAACCTCCCCAAAATTCCCAAAAACTCCCCAAAATTGCCCAAAAAACCCCCCAAAACCCCCTAAAAAAAACCCCAAAACTCCCCAAAATTGCCCAAAAAACCCCCCAAAATTCCCAAATCCCCCCAAAATTCCCAAATCCCCCCAAAATTCCCAAATCCCCCCAAAATTCCCAAATCCCCCCAAAATTCCCAAATCCCCCCAAAATTCCCAAATCCCCCCAAAATTCCCAAATCCCCCCAAAATTCCCAAATCCCCCCAAAATTCCCAAATCCCCCCAAAATTCCCAAATCCCCCCAAAATTCCCAAATCCCCCCAAAATTCCCAAATCCCCCCAAAATTCCCAAATCCCCCCAAAATTCCCAAATCCCCCCAAAATTCCCAAATCCCCCCAAAATTCCCAAATCCCCCCAAAATTCCCAAATCCCCCCAAAATTCCCAAATCCCCCCAAAATTCCCAAATCCCCCCAAAATTCCCAAATCCCCCCAAAATTCCCAAATCCCCCCAAAATTCCCAAATCCCCCCAAAATTCCCAAATCCCCCCAAAATTCCCAAATCCCCCCAAAATTCCCAAATCCCCCCAAAATTCCCAAATCCCCCCAAAATTCCCAAATCCCCCCAAAATTCCCAAAACCCCCCAAAATCCCCCCAAAACGCCCCAAAAACTCACAAAAACCCATCCAAAACTCCCCAAAATTCCCAAAACCCCCCAAAATTCCCAAAATCACCAAAATATCCCAGAATTCCCCAAAAAAATCCCCCAAAGTCCCCAAAAACCCCCTGCAAAATCCCAAAAAACTCCCCAAAACCTCCCCAAAACTCCCCAAAAAGCCCCAAAATATCACCACAAAACTCCCAAAAAAACCATCCAAAACTCCACAAAATTCCCCAAACCCCCCCAAAATCGCCAAAACATCCCAAAATTCCCAAAAAAATTCCCCAAATCCCACCAAATAATCCCCCAATCCCCCCCCAAAAACCCCTAAAATTCCCAAAAAATCCCTAAACTCCCCAAAACTCCCTAAAAAAACCCCCAAAACTCACAATAAACCCTCCAAAACCTCCTTGAAATCCCCAAAACCTCCCCAAAACCTCCCCAAAATCCCCAAAACCTCCCCAAAAACCCCCAAAAAACCCCAAATCCCCAAAAAGCCCCAAAATATCCCCCCAAAACTCCCCAAAAAAACCCCAACACGCCCCAAAAAAACCCCAAAATCCCCAAGAATCTTCCCAAAAACCCCCAAAGACTCACAAAAAACCCATCCAAAACTCCCCAAAACCTCCCCAAATTCCCCAAAACCTCCCCAAAATCCCCCCAAACCCTCCCCAAATTCCCCAAAACCTCCCCAAAATGCCCCCAAAATCCCCCCCAGCCCCCGGGCGCGGCGCCCACCTGGGCTCTCTTGAGGCTCAGCGACTCCTTGTCCTTGGCGGCGCGGTTCTCGGCCGCGCACACCTGCAGCTCGCGCAGCCGCGCCTGCACGTGCTCGCCCTGCGCGCGCAGGTCCTCGGCCAGCTGGGCCGCCTCCACCGCCTGCGGGACACCGGGGTTACACCTGGGGGACACCTGGGTACACCTGGGTACACCTGGATACACCTGGGGTACACCTGGGTACACCTGGGGTACACCTGGGTACACCTGAGACCCATTTACATACACCTGGATACACCTGAGTGTACATGGATACACCTGGGGGCACCTCAGATACACCTGAGATACACCTGGGCACACCTGAGTGTAACTGGATACACCCAGGTATGGCAAAGAACAACTGGAGTGCACCTGGATACACCTGAGATACACCTGGGGGCACCTGGGTACACCCCGATACACCTGAGGATACCTGGATACACCTTGGAACACCTCGATACACCTGGGATACACCTAGACACACCTGAGACCCATTTACATACACCTGGATACACGTGAGTGTACCTGGGCACACCTAGGGGGCACCTGAGATACACCTGGGGGCACCTGGGGACACCTGGATATACCTGAGTACACCGGGGCACACCTGCGCACACCTGCAGCTGGCGCAGCCGCGCCTGCACGTGCTCGCCCTGCGCGCGCAGGTCCTCGGCCAGCTGGGCCGCCTCCACCGCCTGGGGGACACCCCTGAGACACACCTGGGCACACCTGAGTGTACGTGGATACACCCGGGTATGGCAAAGAACAACTGGAGTGCACCTGGATACACCTGAGACACTGAGACACACCTGGGGTACACCTGGGCACTCCTGAGATACAGCTGAGCACACCTGGATACACATGGATACACCTGAATACACCTGGGCACATCTGAGACACATTTAAATACACCCCAATACACCTGGGATACAGCTGGGCACACCTGAACACACCTGTCCCCACGTGTGACACACGTGTCCCTCACCTTCCTCTTGTGCAGCTCCAGCGCCTGCGAGCGCAGGCTCAGCTCACCTGGGCACACCTGGACACACCTGGGACACACCTGGGGTACCTGTGACACACCTGTGACACACCTGGGGACACCTGTGACACACCTGTGACACACCTGGGGCACACCTGTGACACACCTGTGACACACCTGACACACCTGTGACACACATGACACACCTGTGACACACCTGGGGTACCTGTGACACACCTGAACACACCTGTGACACACCTGGGGTACCTGTGACACACCTGTGACACACCTGACACACCTGTGACACATGACACACCTGTGACACACCTGGGGTACCTGTGACACACCTGGGGTACCTGTGACACACCTGGGGTACCTGTGACACACCTGGGGTACCTGTGACACACCTGGGGTACCTGTGACACACCTGGGGTACCTGTGACACACCTGGGGTACCTGTGACACACCTGGGGTACCTGTGACACACC